AAACCATCAGTGTTAAGAAAACTGTGAAAACATGATCATAATTATAAGCTTTAGGCAGATCTTCATTTTTTGGTTTTTTTTAAAGGTAAAAACAAATTTAAACAAACACTGATCATTCAAAATATCTATGTGCTGATGTGATTGCATGTTTGCATGGTGCATAAAAGTTCTTAAACATAATAACCAAAAGCATGGTGGGGAAATGGAGTAGATGTTAGTTTGCTACATTCTGTCCTACCAGGACTGTGGATGGCAAGGTTACTACTGAGTGAGTTGTCGCTAAATAATCAGGTGTAAGAGAAAAACAGGGAGAAGGGGGTCATTAAGTTCACAGTGGCAGCAGGTAGTTACTCCATTTAAAAAAAAATCAAATTTGTATGCTGTCTGAGTCCCAATAACTTTTTCCTCCCATTGTTAAATGTCCACAACACTGTTTGGATAACACAGAGTTTTCCTCTAAAATAGCTGCTGAATCCTATTTTCTATTTTCTGAAATGCCTTGAATAAAATATAATATTAGGTCATAGGTTCATATGTGTGAGTTAGGGTAGAAGGACAATAGTTACTGTACTAGCACTTAGAGAAAGTGATAGCTGTTACTTTAATCATTGATAAAAGAGCAAAAACTATAAACAAAGCAACTTCCAGATAGCCTATGCCCAGGAGCCTATGCCCAAGCCCAAATTAATCAAAATTGCTAAGTGAGGCAATGAAAGTAGATGCTGTTTCACCTTAGAGGCACGAGAAACGATGATACACAATAAAACCAATATAGGGAAACCTACTTTGGGCAATTCTCACAGAAATTCACTTTTCCTAGTGTTTATAATCATGCATCAATTTATTCTACTGATAACTTTTTGTCTCAATCCACTTTTATTTTGTTGAACTTCTACTCTCTGGAATCCAGGATGATATACAACTCTTAACTGTCCAGGTTAAGAGCTCTACTTAAAGGTTTCTTTTCCTTTCCATCTCTGAGTCACACATTAAATGTTGACCTAGCAGTGTTTAGTGAAATACACCCTTCAAGGAAATAGCAAGGAACTTACTTTGCCAATAGACCTTAGTTCCAACTATGAGGCTAGCTAAATAAATATGATTCAAAAATGCAATTTCCTACTCTTTCCTTTAACATACGTTCTTGTCAAAACTCACCATAAAAACAGCCTTTTCATTCAAAACTAGAAATATAACAAGAAGCAGGAAGAACAAGTAGCCAATATAGCGACATTTACAGATATACATGAATTCATCTATTATGCACATGGATAAAGATATGGCTTTAAGACAGGATCATGTCGTTGGATTGCAACATTACCATGTCCTTTACCTGCAGCTATATTGGGTAAACTGAAAGGAGTTCGGTTACCTGCTTTTAGTTTTAAGCAATAAAATTTTCAAATAAAATATGAAAAATAGGTCTTTTATTTGGCATTTAGCACCTAGCACTCTTGTTTATGAACAGGAAGACTTTACCTATCTATCATAGCTAACATCACTAACAGACTTTCATGATCTAGCCTTCTTACAGAAAACAATATTTTCTTTGTTAAGGCAGAAGAAGAAGAAAATATCCTTGCAGTAAAGCTGCTAGAAATCTTGCCCTTCTTCAAATCTAACCCACTATGTCAAGAAATAACTCCAACACAACTGTTTGCCATGGGTAATAATGGTTTACATTTTAAACATTTAAAAATTTCTTATAAACTGGTGGGTAGAGAGTAAGGAAAATAATTTTGATGGAGATATAGGTAATCCTTGATTTACGACCACAGTTGAGCCCAGAATTTCCATTGCTAAACAAAGTGATAGTTAAGTGAGTCATGCCTGATTTTATGACCTTTTTGGCCATGATTGTTAAGCAAACCACTGCAATTGTTAAGTGAATCATGTAGTCGTTAAGTGAATCTGGCTTCCACTATTGATTTTGTCAGAAGGCTGGGAAGATTATAAATGCCAATAACCCACCCACCCCCTGCTGCTGCCGTTGTAAATATAAGCTGGTTATAAAGTGCCCAGATTGGGATCATGGACTATGGGGATGCTTAAAGTATAAAGACTGGTTGTTAAGTCTCTTTTTTTTTTAGTGTTCTTGTAACTTACAACAATTCCTTATTGAATTGTGAATTGTAAGTCAAGAACTATCTGTATGCAGAAGCTGTTGCCTAGATAAAAGGAGCTGACATATTTTTAAAGTCCAGAACAAGATAACAAGATATGAGCCAAGGTGGCGCAGTGGTTAAATGCAGCACTGCAGGCTACTGCTAGATCAGCAGGTCAGCGGTTCAAATCTCACTCAGGCTCAGGGTTGACTCAGCCTTCCATCCTTCCGAGGTGGGTAAAATGAGGACCCAGATTGTTGGGGGCAATATGCTGACTCTCTGTAAACCGCTTAGAGAGGCCTGAAAGGCCTATGAAGCGGTATATCAGTCTACTGCTATTGCTATAACAGAAATAGTTCAAGAATACATCTTCATAATTCATGGAATAAGGAGGAGGTACAACATAATCAGACTTTCAGGATTCCACTACTGTAGCTAATTTCAATAAAAGCTTTTTTTAAGCTTTCCTGTAGATTTGATTTCTTAATTTGGTCTATCTAGAGGGACTGGGAGTTACACTCATTATTAAATTGCTTCCTATTCAAGAACTGGTCAATTGTAGTGTGAGAGGGCAGGCTGCCTAAAAGAAACTAGCACTTAGGCTGATGGTGTCCTGCCCCTTCAAGTCATCTCCCCAGCCAGCTCAGCTGTCTACCAAAGAGGAGCCCTGCAGTAAAACAAGGGTGTGTGTGTGTGTTTTGGCTGGCTGACTGCTCCCCCCCCACACCCAATTGGTTTGTCAGAGAGAGCACTTGCTTGACTTCAGAGACAGAACTTCTCTTGGAATTTCAGATGGTTTTCTGAGGTTCTGAAAGACAAGACATTGATTTTGTAGTGTCTATGGGAAACAGATTGTTGAGAGATTCTTGAAATCCCAGACAAACCAATGGTGCAAACAGATGTATTAAATCTGAACTGTAGATTACGTCATATAAATTAGGCTAAAGGCCTATATAACACAAGCATATTCATGTCACAAGCATATTCATTCTGTGTTGATTAATGGAATAATATATGTGGAGTTCCTCCAGTATGAACATTAAAATCATGCCACATAGTGACTATTCCATATCCAGGTAACATACGTAAATTTAGGCAATGATTAAAGAGCTGCCATAACAGTATGAGACAGAGAACAACAGGAATAAAATTCTAATGTGTGCAGTCCTATTTAATAGTCATATGTTATCCAAAACAAACAAAGCCACTGTTTTGAATATTGCACTGAAATCAACAATGCAAAAGACCAAATAGATTTTCACCAGGAGTAAGCAACCTATGCTGCCCCTGTGTTGCTAAACTATAGTTCTCAACAATCCCAGCCAACATGGTGGCATTCCTTGGTTTATCATTTTGTGACATTTGAAGGCCAGAGATTCTTCACCCACTCAGTTTATAAACTGGGTTATAAACTCAGAAATAATCAAGTGCCAGATGTTTCAGTGTAGAAATGTGCTCCATAGAAACATTTTATAACAAAAATAGGTTGTATTTTAATTTTCAATTTTGAATAGTTTTAAAAAAACAGCTATTGTTGTGGTGTGTGTGTGTGTGTATGTGTGTGTGCGTGTCTGTCTGTCTTTGGGATATTTTCTGCAATCTGCCTATCCTAGGTTATATTGCTCAGCCTGGATTATGTAAACTGTTGGAGATGACAATTTTATGATTCTAATATATAATAGATAGGATTAAAAAATTTCCCTCTTGCCCTTAATAGACTCTATGCATACTATAAAAACTTATTTCTTCTTCCAAGAAATAAAATCACTGTGGATATTTCAGCCATTATTTGAGTGATATTATTGAGGCAGGATATAAAGCTGAGGTAGAGTGTTGTGCTACTCAAGATTCAGCCCCAAAATTCAATCCTATAAAAAGCAGATATCCCAGGGAATCTGTGGATAGAGCTAAATTCTATTAATAGACTTCTGGAAGACTTGAAGATAATATTATAAAAGTGAGCCAGCAAGAATTTTTGTGAGTGATGTTATTGCAAGAATTAATAGAGTAATTACACAGTAGCCATATCAGTCAATATCCTCTAAGAATATGTAAAAGCAGGGCTTCCACATTCAAACTCAATATAGTAAAGATATAAATACTTTCCCAAGTGCATTTAATAAAAACTAAGGTATGAATCAGGAAGTCTTTAACTCAAACTTTTCAACTCTGCTCACACTGAAGCCACAGGTAAAGAACTCTCCCTCTCAACCCTTGCAACCCTTTTAAATGAGGGGTGGTGCTTTCTTCCCAAGCCCATAATCCCCCCTCCCTCCCTCCCTCCAACTTTAACTTTGGAAAGCAACCAGTTGAGAGAGGCTGCTTCAGAAATTATAACCGTTTCCAGGATTCCTGATCATTAGTTATAGTAGCTGGGATTTAACCATCCCAAGAAGCAATCCCACTGTTTTTCATTCTGCTAGATTACGCATATGACACATTATGAACAAACGGTCCAAATGTTTAAATTAAGACTTTTACAAAGGGTTAGATTGAACTTTATGACTGATGACTTCCCAGCCACATCCAGGTAGTTTTCCTGGCCGCAATACAGAAGTAGTTTGCCTTGTCTTTTGGGTTCTTAATTTCCTGGTCTCCCTAGCAGCTGTAGGATTTCATGGTGATCTACCATCCAAATAATAAATAGATTTTCTCCCAGCTTTGCGTTTCTCCCAGTCACCACTGGATAGGGTTCATTCGTTTTAATAGGGTTCATAGAACTGGCGATGGGAAATGAAACCGATTTACTTTTCCATGACAGGCGAAAGCAAGAAGCCTGCTACTTGCTGTTGCCGCCACCTCCTTCTCCAAATGCCACTGCTCCTTTCCTCCCTAGAATGGGGGCAGGAAGGGGCAACGGAGATTCCCACCCCCCTCCGGCCATCCACTCTGTACCTCAACCGGAGATTGGCCATGAACTCCGGCATCGACACTGTGTCGAGAAGCACGAAGTCTGCTTTGCCGAACTCCAGGCTCTCCAGCTCTGCCATGGCGCTGCCAGAAAGCCAGCGGGATGGGCAGCCACTCCTCTCGACGACCAGGAAAGACGGGCGATGGGAAATCGAGCCGGGCACCGTAATCGCCGGCTGCCTGAGCAAAAGCGAGAGGGGTTTCTCCAGCAGCCACGCCCACACCTGAGCAGCCGCTTGCTACTGGAGGCACGTCGATCTCGAGGGAGGTAATTGGGCGGAGCTGACTCCCCACCAGACAGAAGCTGCGCCCAGACCGTTGCGACCTCTGAACAGTTGTACCGCCACCTGGCGGCCTAGATAGCTCTGTGCACTCATATATACCGTATAAAGTTCAGAAGTCCCCGCCCCCATGTAGTCCGTAGTATCTTTCATGTAACCTACAGGTCTTCAAACTTGGCAACTTTAAGACTTCTGGCCTTCAACTCCCAGAATTCTCTAGCCAGCAACTTGTGGACTTCAACTCCCAGAATTTTCCAGCCAGCCGTCCACAAGTCTTAAAGTTGCCAAGTTTGAAGACCTGATTATAACCCATTAACTCAGTATGTACCTTCTGTCAGGCTGCATCATGATTCTGTCTTCTTTGAAAGCGTCAAAAATAGGTGGCACTGAACCCTAAGGTAACCAGCTTTTATTTAATGTCTTCAAAATCTTTGGCCATGTGTTTCAATTTCTGCTTGTTCTGTCTTCTTTGAAAGCGTCAAAAATAGGTGGCACTGAACCCTAAGGTA